GCAACAGCCATAGCGGCCCCAAAGATGAACAAAACAGAAAAATGAAGTTGAAACAAGAGTTTGTGGGTTTGCGAAAAGGAGATCACTACCTACCTTTGTGGAGACCTGACGCAGAGGCACGGGACGGACTTTTCAGCATGTTAACTCTCATAGCTCACATGTTCCGTTTCAAAATGCTTCTCTTGGCCCTCCAGATACCCATTCTTTGCCCTCTGTGAATTATATATGAAACAAACCTTGAAGGAGAATCATAATACACTAACAATAAAAGATATAGTGCAACAGCTCTGATTGCAAGCTGCAATTGCAGACTGCTGACCGCTAACAAATTCCGGTGACGCGGGTTACCCGCCACCGTAAGTTAAAGGTGACCTTCTTTATTTTATTTATTTTGTTTTTTATACTTTTTGTGAAAGTGAGACTGTTGGATGATTAGGGTGCAGTATGCATTAACCCAAAAATATATCATTAATAGCGCACAGACACACAAATGTTGTGGGTTGGGGGTTTTTTCCCTCGAAACCCCTTGCAATCGACTTGGGACAATAATAATAAGGTATCTGAAATTTATACTATTAATATCTGTCTGTTAGATGTCGATCTATGCAAAGGGTGTGGGTGATACAAGAAATTCACAGTAACAAAGGCAGGAAATGCTGCTGTTGAAAGCCTGACTCGAATAAACACATTTTCGAAGGCTCTCAGCAGCATAGCATTCAAGAGTTTTAAATTTTCTTTACAGACACAAAACTGAAGTCTGGCCTGTTTCGTCACACGTTTAAGTTATTGCTGAAAATAAATGATTCATAAATCCATGATGTGCTGTTTTTTTTTAGGCAAAATCCGTGATCCCAAATACAGTGGCTTCATCTTTGGCGCAGTGCATTTGAACAAACATTTTTAATTAGGAAAACAATGAAAGTTAATTGTAACACAGTGTGGTCTGCATTCTGACCATTGCTATGGCATCACAACAAGAGTAATGATGACGAGGTTCGTAAATGGACACGATGACTCAGAATAGAAAAATAATGCACAAAAACAAACGACAACAAAAAAACACAAAATGTGCCACTGAAAAGCGTACCTCCTGCCAATACCACATTGCTGTCTTTAATATTTCCTGTCTTTTATTTTGTTCATTATTGTTAAATTCAGTGTTCACCTTTGTATGTGACAGATGCATACAATTAGGAAAATACGGAACAAACCGCCTCCCATATTGGTTCAATACGGAACGTAACATCCATCCATCAATCCATTTCATGATCCGCTTTATCCTCCCAAGGGTCGCAGGGGGTGCTGGAGCCTATCCCAGCTGTCTTCGGGCAGTAGGCGGGGGGCACCCTGAACTGGTTGCCAGCCAATCGCAGGGCTCACAGAGATGAACCATCTGCGCTCACACTCACACCTAGGGACAAATTTGAGTGTTCAATCAGCCTGTCATGCATGCTTTTGGAATGTGGGAGGAAACCGGAGTACCTGGAGAAAACCCATGCAGGCCCGGGGAGAACATGCAAACTCCACACAGGGAGGCCAGAGCTGGAATTGAACCTCCGCACTGTGAGGTCGACGCGCTAACCACTGGACCACTGGGGCGACCCCAGTATAATCATATTTATCACTTTTGACAAAAAAGGGGACTCATCCTTAAATAGAATAATTTGTTGATTGTTCAAGGGAGTGATAGCATCAATGTTTTGTTTTTTTGCCAATCAAACAAAGACTTTCAAAATAGTGTGACGACTCGACATAAGTAAAAAAAATGTTCAGTAGTTTCACTGTGTGTGTGACAGAGACCACATGGCTCCACCTCAAAACCAAATCTCTTTCATAATTTATCAGCAGCTGCATAATAATTCCGGATAATCTTGAATTGCAGCTCTTTAATTTTGGGAGGGCTTGGCCATTTCATATATTTTACATGTTTATTTGAGATTCTTGAGTTCATTACGCTGGTTTTTAAGTTAATAGCTTTTACCAGATCAATAAAGAAGATTTCTTTGAATTACTATGAATCCACTTTTAATCTCCAACTCTATATTGACCAATTTGAATGTCTGGTAAAGTTATCTTCACTTCTGAATGTGAAAGTCTGCTTTTAATTTGTTGAGCTAAGGGAGTTGGAATAGTGTGACATATTTTTCCGTATTCTCGATAAGAGCACTGTTTGCCAAATTTATCATCAAAAGAGTCAAACGCAAAATTGATCCAGAACTATTCATAAGACCAGCTACAAATATTATACCCTAGTCAAACCACATTTGCTTGAGTAGAGTGCTTCGATGTATCGTTATTGTTCTGTTGTTCAATTGGGTGGAACCATGTGGACTAAGGTTGTGAGTAAATGCCATTTTCCAGTTGTGTAACACTTGCTTATGAAAGCCAGATAATTTCATTGGCAATTTTGTGATTTCATATTCACATTTCAGCAAAAAGTCCAAACCTCAAACTTTCTTAAAATTACTCTGAGCAATATGGAACCATATGGATTCAGTTTCCGATAGAAAGTATTTTATCCAATCCATCCGAAACATTCCTATCATTGATTCAAAGTGTGTTGTATTCACAAACCTGCTTTTTTTTATTTTATTTTATTTTATTTTTTTTACATTTTTGACTAATTGTAGCTTTCTTACATAGTGTGCTTTGTTTCACCATATTAAGTTATATGTAAGATGGCTTTCTTAATGTTTTGGTGAGCAATAAATCGAGACAGACATGGACAGGCCAGATTTGACCTTGCATAATCTGTTTCATCCAAAAATAGAGAGGTCTTTAGTTTGCCAGTGATTTTGAGTCTTTTCCATAGCTTTCAACTTGTCTTTGTAATTGTTACTTTTCCTCAATTTATTATTTGCTATTATATTTAAATCCAAATATTTTACTTCTTTTTTAACAGAAATAGACATTCCTTGGACTTCATCACAATGAGACAATGAGAGAATTTCACATTTAATCAGTTGAAATTTGAAACAGATGCTTTGGAGAAAACAGAGATCACTTTTAACGCCTTTACAATTGTCGATTTGTCTTTTAAAAAATAAAATAATAATCCCCAAAGGTAATGGCATTAATTTCCGAGTGATTAACGATGAAATATGCATATATTTGGGGACACAGTCTGAACATTTTTGGTGATACCGGACGGTCTTGTCTAATTCCTTTAAGAATCTTTGTTTTCGAGGTCATTCCAGGGTTTAGAGAGATGTCGCTCTCGATGTCATTGTAAAACATTTTAATGACCTCGTAGAATCTAGCTTCGAACCCAAATTTGTGTATTGATTAAAAATTGATGTTCGATTGAATCAAATGCTTTAAGGAAACCAATGAACAGAACAAAACACTTTTCCTCAAAGGAAGATTGAAAGTGAAGAATTTCTAGTATTAACCGAACATTGTGATGAGTATTTCGGCCTTCAACGAAAGTTGATTGATATACATTGACTAATTTAGCCAAAATATGTTTGAGTTGATTTGCATACACCAGTGCTAGTATCTTATAGTCATTGCAGAACAATGTTAAAGGCCTCCAATGATCGAGTTTCAACAGATCCTTATTTGGTTTTTAGGCCATAATGTTATCAATCTTGTTTTCATGTGAGGATAAGGAACCTTTTTGTACACATTGCATGAAGACATTATATAGCAAGTCCGATATGTTTAAATTATGTCTTTTTCTGCTGCATTTATTTTCTTAATTTGAGTCATTAACTCACATTTTCTTTCTTGGGACATAGATTTGTACAAATGATTGTAGAAGTTCCACATTTCCTCATGTACTTGTTCTTGATCTTCAATTAATGATTTCCTGTCAACCAGTTCTGGGTGTACCCCACTTACTGCCTGAAGACAACTGAGATAGGCTCCGGCACACCCCGTGACCCTTGTGACGATAAGCGGATCAGAAAATGGATGGATGGATGGAAGTACTGGTTACTCATAAAACATGATGTAAGTTCCACCAACTTGACATACTTAAGTGAGTAGTACTATTTGTCAAGATTTGAGTATTGTGTAATCCATAATCTATCCATCCATCCATTTTCCGATCTGCTTTATCCTCACAACGGCCGCAGTTGGGTGCTGGAGCTTATCCCAGCTGTCTTCAGGCATTAGGCAGGGGACACCCCGAACCGGTTGCGAGCCAATCACAGTGAGTACTTTGTACATTTATTTATTTATTTTGAACATTCGGATGCATGGAAACTGGTTCGAAGAGGCTCTTCAAGTGGAAATGGTTTCCAACCCCTGATATAGGCAACCAACCATTTACACTTACATTAAGGACAATTTAGTCTTCAATTAACCAAACATGCATGTTTTGGGAATGTGGGAGGAAACCTGTGCACCCAGGGAAAACCCACTCAAAACTCTACTCTTAAAAATCTATACAAAGAAGGTCAAAGCCCGGAGTCAAACAGCCAACCTCAGAACTGTAAGACGGATGTGCTAATCACATGGCATCCATGATTTCTTGGCCTCTGGAACTGCATCCTTCCATCCATTTATGATCTATCAATCTAGCTACATATCTATTTATATTTAAAATGCTCTGCGTTAATGGCACAAGTTTTATAATTAAGAATAAAATAAACCTCAAGAAAATTTGAGAAATTAGTAAATTATGATTTATTTTCAGTGTACTGTGCATGCATTGTCTCTGATGCGGACGTTGCCCCCAACAAGATGGCCACCGGTAGGCATGCCGTTTTAGCACCGGGCTGCTTATTTTAGTCCCCTATATCTGTAGAAAAACCTCGGACGAAACAAAAGGGGGAACGGCCGACAGACGGATGAGAGGAGCAGCAAATAAATGTCCATTATGTTTTTCCGTGTGTTAATTTTGTCGAATAGACTTAAAGAGTGTTCGTCTCTTTCTGAACAGACTTGCTTGCTCAACAGACTTGCTTGCTCCAGTGGAAAGAAAAAAGGCCACGCGCTTCATTCGAACGACCTTGCTCCAGACTCAGTGGAAAGTCCACCAGCGGACTTTCCTCTCAGACGCCGAATTTATGCGACAGCAATGACGTATTTTGCGGCGCGCCCGATTAGTGTGAAAACATATTTCTCTTGATTAATAAGTGAATAATAGAGTCCCCTACACAAAAAGCAATTCGTTCATCCTCTGTCGTGATTAGAAAAGAGCCCAGAAGTGCCAAATTCCAAACATAGCCCGTGTCTCAATCTCTTACCAGAATAGTTTTCCGCGTTAGCAAGGAGTTCCGAGCTGAATACTAGCTAAAACTAAAACCAGCATTGCGACAAACCCGGCCGCAACTGTTTTCTTTTTAAACTGTCCTAATTAAAGACTATAATGACTCGCCACGGCAAGAATTGCACAGCTGGAGCCGTCTACACATACCACGAGAAAAAGAAAGATACAGGTGAGAAATGTGTCGTGATTGATTCAGCTAACCTGTTAGCTGAACACTCATATACTTCTCATTAAATTACGACACGTTACGAAGTAGTGATGTTAATTTAATGTGGTTGAGAAACAGCACACGTTTGAAATAGGGTTTGTGCCAGTAATTCACTACAGATGTTTATTTAGCGTATTGCACAGTTTTACATCTGACCCAATTCGTGTTGTCTTGCTTTTTATAGAAAAACACAAATCTTGTTTGTGTGTGTGTGTGTGTGTGTGTGTGTGTGTGTGTGTGTGTGTGTTGAGTTCATTCTGCATTAACCCTCCTGTTGTCCTCGGGTCAAAATGACCCGTCACTGTGTTAAAAACGCCCCAAAAAACCCTAAATAATATTTTTTTAACTTGAAATTTTATGACTTTTCCTAGATTGGCCCCAACTGCAGAAAAATTTAAATGTTGTTTTTATTCACATTTCCATGGAAGCTGTACAAAAAAAGTACAAAGGTGGTCTTCGGGTCAAAATGACCCATGAGGCAAATAGAGTTGAAATCAAGGTCACAAAGTTATTTACACACCACAGAATGTTTCAATGTTTTAGTTGTGTCTCAGATCAATTCGTAGAACACGTGAACAAGACAGTAGCAGACATAAACAAGACAAGATAGGTGGTGTTCTCACAGATGGCAGAACTATTTTTTTGTGGATTTCAAGGGGTTATTAAGGTGCTACAGATGACAGGACCCTGAATTCTCTCTGTGCTGACGCCATGAGTGTGCGTTATGACATTGAAGAGGCCCTAGAGCTGATTTTTTCTGCTGTCCAGCAAGACAACTGATTCAGAAGAGGAAGTGGAGGATGTATCAGAAGAAGATGGGGAGGAATATAACCCAGAGCATGATGAATCATCTTCAGAACAAGAAGAAATCCCTGAAGCTGAAAGAGAGACTTTCCTTTCAAAAAATGGCAAAATAACATGGTCCTCAGCAGCATACAACCAACAAGGCAGGCATGCAGAACAAAACGTAGAGGAGCTCCTGAGAAACCTGATGATCCACCTTCCACAGCCACTTCCCCAGCGAGGGCAAGTAAGAGGAAGAAATGCCAGTTCTGCCCTCAAAAGAAGGACTGTAAAACACATACTGTGTGCTATAGGTGAAAGAAATATATCTGCAAAGGCTGTGCACTTGCATACTGCGCTACATGTGTGAATTAGTTAAATGTGTTATCTTATTTTTCATATTTGTGTCTTGTCTTGTATTGTCCTAAATAGTTCATTGGAAGAAAAAAAAGAAAGAATCTTTAGTCATTGGAATGAATACAAATGCATCCATAACTAATTTTCGCACATTTTTTTCCTTTTCTTAAGCTATAGAAATACAAGTGAAGAGGGAGCACTATGTCACACGTAATGTGGTGAAGGACAAGTTGTTTCTTCAAGCAATATGAAATTTGGTGTTTAAAATTCAATTAAGCTGCTTATTTGGGGGGTTGAGTGAAGATGGGTCATTTTGACCCGGAGGACACAGGGCGTGTACAGAAAATGAGGACAACAGGAGGGTTAACAATGCCATTCATTTCACATTTGGTACTATCTATCCGTTTTCCGAAGCGCTTATCCTCACTAATAATTGTTTAATTTTATATATATATATATATATACCGGTATATGATATACCAATTTCAGTTTTTAATAATGGATATGTATTCTTTCATAGTGGATCTGGACTAATGAATACATCCACATAAAAGTTGACCAGTTTCATATATTTACTGAAGGGCAACCAACACTCCACCATGTGTAAAACTCTTTTTGATTTTTAAAGAATTTATTTGCACATTAGAGTGGAAAATAAGTATTTGGTCAGCTACAAAGAAGCAAGATTTCTGGCTGTCAAAGAGGTCTAACTTCTTCTAATGAGATCTAACGAGGCTCCACTCGTTACCTGTCTTAATGGCGCCTGTTTTAACTCATTATTGGTATAAAAGACACCTGTCTACAACCTCAGTCAGTCACACTCCAAACTCCACTATGGCCAAGACCAAAGAGCTGTCGAAGGACACCAGAGACAAAATTGTAGACCTGCACCAGGCTGGGAAGACTGAATCTGCAATAGGTAAAACGTTTGGTGTAAATAAATCAACTGTGGGAGCAATTATTAGAAAATGGAAGACATAAAAGACCACTGATAATCTCCCTCGATCTGGGGCTCCATGCAAGATCTCACCCCTTGGCATCAAAATGATAACAAGAACGGTGAGCAAAAATCCCAGAACCACACGGGGGGACCTAGTGAATGACCTACAGAGAGCTGGGACCACAGTAACAAAGGCTACAATCAGTAACACAATGCGCCGCCAGGGACTCAAATCCTGCACTGCCAGACGTGTCCCCCTGCTGAAGCCAGTACACGTCCAGGCCCGTCGCTAGAGAGCATTTGGATGCTCCAGAAGAGAACTGGGAGAATGTGTTATGGTCAGATGAAACCAAAATAGAACGTTTTGGTAGAAACACAGGTTCTCGTGTTTGGAGGAGAAAGAATACTGAATTGCATCCGAAGAACACCATACCCACTGTGAAGCATGGGGTTGGAAACATCATGCTTTGGGGCTGTTTTTCTGCAAAGGGACCAGGATGACTGACCTGTGTAAAGGAAAGAATGAAAGGGGCCGTGTATCGAGAGATTTTGAGTGAAAATCTCCTTCCATTAGCAAGGGCATTGAAGATGAGACGTGGCTGGGTCTTTCAGCATGACAATGATCCATACATGGCAATGGCGAGTGATGAAAAAAGCGGAAGGGGCGTGGCCTGGACGGGGGCGTGGCCTGGACGGGGGCGTGATTACTTACAAAAGTGGCACTAAACATGCTGAAGATGAAGTGTATTAAATTTACACAGTTTGAAAATTGAACAGAAAAAAATCCCAAGATCGCCACTATTCTTTCAAGTGAAAATTTGTGCAATTTTGCCTATGCATTCCTGGTGAGCACCAATATGTAACTCCAAATTTGCTGCTCAAAATCAAAACTAAAAAAGTAAACACATCCCCTGCCATATTTAAGATTTGTTCATGACTTGTATTCATAAAGTGTTGTGTAAATGTGATAAAAAGCTGTTGATTCTTACCTCATACAGTGATAGTGAATATTTATTATGCATACAATTTATTATGCATAACCGTGCTTTATTATCCAAGACAAAACGTGAATTATCAATATGAATATAAAACGCAAATAAAAACAAATAAATGTTATCATGCTGTTGCTACAAATGCATACCAAATAAAATTGAAAATATCATCCTCGTATATTTGAATAAAAAAGTATATACCT